CCACCATGGGAAGACAATAAAATTGGCTGAAGCCATATTTTGAGGGTGTGATCTTAAGGGACAATGGGAAAAGTGGAAAGTGAGATGGAAAATGAAAAGAAAGTGTTGAAGCAGGCCAAACTGGTTTTCAAAGTCTTTTCTTGTTCAGCACAGCAGAAATGTTGAATATAAAGGGCGTGAGAGATTATCTAAAACCAAGGCATTAAAAGATCAGGCTGCTATGGGATTTTGATTTGGGATCTTCCCACATTGTTTTCAGGTATTGAAAAAAATCATAAAACTTTGGAGAATGTGTTTTAGGAGTGGTGGTTTACAACTTTTATTTTTAAAAAAATTGTGTGCGTGTCCACAAGTGAATCTGGAGGTTAGAAGACAATTTGCAGCAATCACTTCCCTCCTTCTACCATGGGGGGTCCCAGGGTTGGAGCTCTAGTGGTCAGGTATGGCAGCAGACAGTTTTATCTGTTGAGCCATTTCACTGGCCCTCCAACTTGCCTTTAATGTTTACTCCCAAGGTAATGTTAAACAGACTAAGGTGGGTTTAGGATTCCTTTATCCTGTGGTTGTCAATAGTTATCTTTGCGTGTGACTTTAGTTTCTAGAATTTTTTTCAGTAGGGATAATGAAGGTGAGTGGGCTAAATGCAATTATAAAAATGTCTCTGAAACCGGTGGTGCTTAAAAACTTGTAATCAAAATAAAAATTCCAATACTTACCATGAGCTAAAAACATTGCTAGTGCAGAAGGACTTGTGAAATAGCCATCAGCATCCTTGGAATCCTTGTTGGTACACTAGCCTTGAAGCCAGATGTTTAGAGTGCTTTTAAAATGTACCATCCACCCCCAGCAAGGACTTGAGCAAGAGAGAGGAGAGACAGGACTTGAGCAAGAGACAGGAGTCCCTGTCCAGACCCCCAGAATAAGGAGGGGCTTAGGGAGCCCTACTCTTTTGAATACCATCAATAAAGTTCACTGCACCCAAAAACAAACAAAAAGTACCCTCTTGAGATTTTGACTGAGGAGTTCTAATGAATAAAATGCCATGCAGATGTATTAAAAAAAACCAAACTATTTTCATATCAGAAACCACCAAAATATCAACTAGATATACTTTCAATATACTTATTGTTGAATAAGCATAGACCCCCTATTGAGAAATTGGATTTAAGCTAAATTTCTCATATATTAATACAAAGAAGTAAATTCTAATATTGAATTGCTATGTTGCCGTTGTTAAAGCTATTTGGTGTTTCTTCCCTCTTGCAGACTTTTATTCTCTTGTCTTTAGTATTCTTTTAAAATCAGCCTGTCTGGAGATTTGTGAAACAGAAGTATTTTTAAAAAAATAGAGCAAGGACACAGCTTTTGAAGATTCTTTGTCAGGGCTTGGGGATAAATAAAATAAACAAAACTGATGCCCCCAGAAAGAGGAAGCATAGGAAAACAGGCACTCTCCTGAGAGATAACATATAGTGTGGCCTGACCAAGTCACGTGGTGGGAGGGGGGCTCTTTTCTTTCTTCTCCACATCCTTTCCTCTGATGTCACAAGTCTATTATTTCCTGGGAGAATTAATTAGTATTCATTGGGTTGCAGTTGGCAAGAAGAAAGAAGGGAGGAGAGAGAGAGAGAGAGAGAGAGAGAGAGAGAGAGAGAGGAGGAAGGGAGATCTTAAGAGGGAGACAGCAAGGAGGAAGAGCTTGGTGGGGGAGCAGGACCTTCCCGGGGTGCACTGGGAGTGGGGGCAAACAGTGGCTGTTTTATAACTGGGATCCTCGGTGACGTATGGTCGCCTGCTCCTTGGCAGCTGTCTTTATGGACCAGTAGGCAGAGCGAATTTGACGCTGACAAGACTTTTGCATCTTGGATGGCACTGTAATCTACTGTAGTGAAGAACAGAGCCTCTCAATCAGGCGGGTGTAAAGAAGAGAGACTGAGGGGAGTCCAAAAGAAAAGGAAGAGGAGGGGGAAAAGTGTGTGTTGGAGGAAGCAGGGAAAAGCATTTTTGGTGGATGGTATGAAGCCAGCCATGGAAACTGCAGCGGAGGAAAATACTGAACAAAGCCAAGAGAGAAAAGGTACCCAGCACTCTGACAATAGCCTGTTTTAAAGCTTTTCACTGAGGGTGCTTAAAAGGGGTTATCCAGGTTTTGTCTCTTGTAAAACGGCTCGAAAACAATCCCTGATGGTGTGGTCTTGTTTAGGGTGGGTTTTGTCTTTATCCTGGGGACTAATGTTAAATTAATAGTGTAGCCTCTCTTCTATTTCTGTTGCAAGTATTTCTATGTAACATGGTATTTCATAAAAGAATTCTGTAGTTTGTCACCTTGGGCTGCTGGAGTGGGAAAACTCTCTCTCTCTCTCTCTCTCTCTCTCTCTTTTACTAAATAATCAATCATAACTTAGGTTCTGTGTTCTGCATGCTACATTCAGGGTTTAGGGGATGTGTTACTCTGTGCTAAAGCTAAGGAGGAACTGGAGAGACAGGCATGCTAAACATGCTTTGATTCCAATAATACCGGAGTAATTTAGACATGCTGTAAGTTTCTTATTCTAACATGATTGTTCTTTCCATGTATCAGACTATGACATGAAATAATCATTTATAGTGGGAGCATGAAATCAGCTTTGTCCCCTAACACTGATAGGAGGAAAGAGGTCTTTTGCTGGTTATATCTTAAAGATTTGGAGGAGGAAAACTGTCCAAGGGCTCCATCCTTAAAAGAAGTCTCAGAGCATGTCACAGTTTTGATATTCATACTTTGGAGAAATTGGAATTATTGCACCAAGAAAATGGCAGAAAAGAGACGCTATGCCTGAGGTCAAGTTTGACGCCCCGTAGAAACATCTCAGCCACTGTTAGGTTAGCTGTGTCTGGCTACACTGTAATTGATCTCTTCGCTTTGAGATAAAAAAACTGTCATAAGATGCACAAAAACATATTTTATAACTGCATTGGCTCAGGTTTCCAAAACAATCCATCATGCTAAGGTTCTTTCTCGTGGCTTTTACACACAAGTGCAGTCTTTAAATGATAGTAATTCTTCAGCCACATTTTCTTTATGAATATATGGGTCGAGCCATATGAATTTGCTGCTGTCAACCATTTTAAACATGAAAAGCACATCTACATGCAGTTCAACTTTACAGCACATTGGGGTAAAGGCTGTTTATTTTCATATAGATTTTTTTCTGCCTATATTAATATTCCATCCTAAACAGACCAATTTCATTTTTAAAATTTAATTTTAGAAGCATGATACAATCCACAAATTTGCCATTTAATCACTTTTAAACTTACAATTCAAGGGCAACAAGTACATACCAATTGGATTTTAAAGTTGGTACTTTAGTTCAATCCTTACAGCCAGCCTATTCCTCCCCTAACAAAAGACACTCTGTCTTTTCTTGCATGTAATTTTTTTCTCACTTTACCCCTAATCTACATGAATGGTCAAATAACAATAAGAAAAACTCGGGTATATTTTTCAAGTTTCATTTCCATCTAAGGTGATTGCATGTGTGATGATGTAGTAATATCCTGGAGAAAACTTACCACAGTTTAGAACATTTTTCTCCTAAAGTGGATGATTTTGCTTTATACGCTTTTTTTTTTATTAATGTCGTGTTTGCCTGTGACAGATAAAACCATTGTGACCTCTGCATGACCATCTAGATCTGCAGAAATGGGTCTTTTGTTTTTCTCTACAAAACAAAAGGCATAAAATCTTTACTATACAAATGTGTGGCTAATTCTCATTTAGTCTCATAGACTGTCCTTATTTTACATTATCTACATATTTAATAGCAGGTCTACAGGTTGCCACTACATCCCCAAGATATGAAAACTAACTAGCTATCAGTATAGAGGCAACAGTAGAAGCAAAATACCGTTTTTCAGAGGAACTTTAAAGATGACCAGGATTCATAAACACTAGTTGTTAAATAATTCAAAAATGAAAAGCTACTTAGCTAGGGTCACATGTGTGACACATGTTTGGATCAGAATCTGGGCCAAGAAGTTTATTCTCAATCTGCAGCCACAAGGATTGTGATCACTGTGTGGACTCCCACCCCAAAGCACTCTGGAAGATGATTTATCAGTGCACCTTGATTTGAATGACCATGATCTTATGCTAGCTGCCCAAAGTCCAAACTCCCATAAGTATCTTTGTCATTCCCTAGTTTGCTGGGCCATTATTATAAAACTGTAGCCATGAGTGGTCCTGTATACTCATGCTTCTGTATTCCTTCAGATATAATGTTAATGGTCTAAAACTCGTGCTTATTTCATTGACATTAACATTTGCAAACTTAACAATATTACTTACAAAATGAAATGTGTAAATTGTGGAGTTTGGAGAATCTTTTTCTTCTTCTTCCTTGTCTGCAAGACTTCTTAGTTCCTACATTTTATCCTCTGTATTTTTGTTACTTCACAGAGGTTTGTTTGCATATATGTGATTCCATTTGTTCCTCTTTTCCCACTGGCTTTCAGTTATTGGTGGCAGGGACAGTGCCTGTCTGTTAATTAGGGGTATTGTTGCCCAATGGCTAGCAATCAACAGCTTGCGAATGAATAGCTTCGGATAATTATTACAGTGTCTATGAAGAATATAAATTAAACTAAGATTTATAAATTGACCTCAGCTTTTTCTAGTTGGTGTCTGTTCCCAGAGGGAGTTTACATAAGGGAACACATTTGAGCTATTGCAATTCACTAACTGCCACCAAGAGGTCTGTTTCTTTAGAAACTTGATCAGAATCACTTTGTTCTTACTTTATACAAAAATGATCCAAGTCTTCACAAAAGGGAAGGCATTTGTGTTTTTGCAGTGCTCTCATAGTGTTATCCCAGAATGCTGCTGAGCAACCAAGATTCACACAGAGTGTTCAGGCATAGACAGGCGTTTGCTTTGGGTTTTTTTTTAAGGAGAAATAAAGCAGGTTTTCTCAGATGAGTATAGCAAATGCGAAATTATTACAAGTGACAGTTTTTTTTTTTAAATTAGAGTGTAGAATTAAGTGGCCAAATTGAGTAAACAGATTCAGCAAAGATGGAACGAGCAGAGAAAATGAATAAGGCAATTAAAGGAAGTGGATGATGGCTCTGCTAATAAAAAGATGGAAAGCTAGGTTTCCATTTGTTTCCGTGGAGTATCACTTAGAGTCACTTCATTTGTGAAAACAGATGTGTCTGGAATTGCTGGGGTAGAAAAACAATTGAATCCCTAACAGCTCGGGAGCTCTATTATGGGGGGAGGGCAGTATCTGGGCTGAAAATTCTTTTTATTACATGTAGGAAATTGGAATCTCCTAGAATAATTATAAGCAGGCTAGTTCAGTTCTTGTAAATCATTGCTGAAATCAATCCCAGAATCCAAGTATCAAATTAAGTTTCTAGCCACGTAGGAAGAGAGAAATGTGGTCAATTGGAAATAATGTTTGGCTGAAAGTAAATTGGAGGACAAAGTCAAAATACAAGATGAATTTGAATCAGTGACTTGTTTACAACATTAACAGATTCATTGTAATCTTTCTGCTTATTTTTTTTTAATTAAGCAAACATGTGCATGTTGGTTCTCTGTTTTGTTTTGTTTAAAGAAAAAACAATTCTCTGGAACATTTAACATGTTAACATTATTCTGAAGGATCCATGACATTCTCACTGACATTTACTAACTTGTTTATGTGAATGTGATACAAGGAAAGTTTTAGATGCTGTTATTCTCTGTATGAGTTTGCCAAGGTGAGCATCTGAAGTGACGGGGCCTGGGGAATAGGCTGTAGCAAAAAGTGGCTGGCCAGATGGCGGGGGACATATGTGATAGGCATGACATGGCATCCTTTGATGGTTTGGGGAGGGGAAGAGTTGTGGGTTTTTTTTTTTTTTAAGAAAATTTAAACGTTGAGAAAGATCTGAGCAAGTTTGTCTAGCTATTCCATTTTTGTTATCAGTTCTGTGAACATGCTTTCACGACGTGGCCATGTTATTTCTTCCTTGAAACTGAGCATAAACCTCCATTGTGGCAGTAAGTTATAAGAACGAGCTTTTTTGTTACTTGGAAATACAGGTGAGTTTAGGGTAAGCGGTCTTAGTGGCACTATCTCTTAGCCTTGCTGCATCCACGGACATGCAAAACAACAGACATGCAAAACAACCAGTGTCTGCATGATGTCCACTCACCTTTACCAGGACTGGGGATGAATTGGAGTAGTTCAGAGTCACCCCTTTCCTCTTTTCCCTTTAGACCAAATAGACATACACATGAGCTAATTGGCCAGGAGAGGGAGTGGCTATGGGGTAGAGGAAGAATGGGACACCCTGGCTTTTGAGACAGGGAGTCTCCACTCCCGGTTTTACTCACCATTTGTCATTTATTCATTTAATAACATGCTCCTTTGAAATGGCATTCTTCCTCCTGTGCTCTCAGCTCCTGGTTTAAGAGTGAAAGGCATCATTAGAAATCGCTTCATATGGCTTTTAACCATATTGTGCTATTTGGCGGCAAATACCGAACAGCAGGGACAGAGACTTTTGATCCTCACCCAGCTCTACGATATATCTCTTTAGAGAGTGAGTAAGAGAAAATAAAAGAATGCCTTGTTTTCCAGGCTGATTTCATTTATTATATTAACCACTTTGTATACCAAGCCCTACCTACCAGGGCATAATGCACTTTTCCTATAAGTGGCCAGGTAGCACATATTTTTACCCTTCCAGGTTACAAATCTTTGCTGTGGCTGCTCACTTCTGCTATCCTATCATGAAGAAGCAGCCACAGATGGATGTGTATAAGGGCACGTAACAGTGTTCCAGTCAGATTTTATTTCCCAGATGATGGTCTGTAGCCCTGTCCAGTATTATGGCAGAACCTAGTCTTTCCCCTCACATTTTAGATAATGGCCAACAACAGACAATGACAAACACAGCTTTGAAAAGACCTTCTTCAGTGAATGTGGTCTCCCTCACTAGCCATATTAGTCACTTGGTTGTTCCCAGTGATAATTTGTAAAAATCATTCCAGGCTGGCAGTCACTCGGCCCTACATCATATTATCAAAGTAAATGGGGGATATGGATGGGAGCTTGTTTTGCTTTTTCTTTCCTCAATTTCCCATGATTTATGTCATGTACCCACCTTGGTGATGACCACTCACAATTGTATGTGTCCTCCTGAGCCACCATAGCCACTTTTCTTCTAGCATCTCAGAAGGAGATCATGTCATAGTCTGCTTGTGTAAGGAATAGACCATTTCTTCATTCTTGCCCATGCCGAGAATCGTGTCTGGATCCTGTCCTTGGGATTAAAGTATGTAGTCTGATGTCATAACACTGCAGGTCACTGTGTTTAATATCTCCAAGATCTGCTCAAAAGTACAACACAGAAGTGATTTTCTTTTTTCCCCCACATATCTAAAGATTTACTGTTATAACAAAGGCCAGAAGTATTAGCTCAAGAGATTGGAAAACAGCCATGTGGTTGTCTACTCTCATCTCTAGATCTGCTGTAGTCATAGTATTTTCACATTCTGTGAAGAAACTCGAGAAGGCCAGCCGCCATATTTTTCTTGGAGAAATTGTCACAATTTGAGGGCTAGAGAGATGGCACAGTGGTGATGAGCACTTGCTGCTCTTCAATTTTTTAAAAAAAAAATCATAGTTGGACAATCCATACATTTTCATTATCTTTGCTCAGTGGCCACTGCCTGAGTGCCCAGATATCTGCAGACATTCCCATCCATGTGTGGTTATGAGTACAGGGCACAGATATGCCCTCAGAATTGCAGCCATGGGTATTATGTACACACGTTCATGTGACTATGTTCCAGCAGACTTTATTGACTAACAGGGAGGTCAGCATGACGGGAGTCCATAGGCCCCTAGTGTGGTCCTTTGCTTTCAATGAAATGCTCACCCAACAATAATTTATTGGGAACTATTGTGTGCTGTACATATATAGATAAAATTTAGAACAAGATGAGGGGTGTGGGGGTAGATGGATGCTATAACACATGCCTGGTATACATGAGGTTCTGGGTTCAATCTCTAGCATCCTCCCACACACACACAAAGAAAAACTTCCTATCAGAAGAGATTAAACTGCTTAAACTCTTTTTACTTGAGGAGTCAATATGAAGGCCTCACAATCAACTTTACCAAAAGGAAATCAGCTTATACTATGAGCTGACTTGACCCTATGGTTCTTTGCACCTGGCTGGGCTTCTTTTCTGTCTGAGAATGTACTATAACCTTTGTCTAAGAGAATGGCTTTTGCAAATTGGATGTAGTTTTTGTTTATTTGTTTTGGTTGGGTTTGGGTGGTACTCAGGACCAAATCCAGGGCACTGAACATGCTAGGCAAGTGCTCTACTGTTGAGCTATACCCTCAGCCCTGAAAACCAGAGGGCAAACATCTAATTCCAGGGAAAGTAGAGTTAAGTTTAATGAATCCTGAATTAACAGAGGACCAGGACTATTTCTTTAGGAACCACTGAACTACTCCTCACTTTCACATGGACCTTACCAACTTGAGAAAGGAGGAAAACGTAGAACTTATCTAGTCCCCCAAAGCTGGGAGGAGGAGGAAACGGTTGATGCTAGGAGTTTTGAATGTGCACTCTCTGGAGGCTAATTTTCTAACTGCATAGCCAGTCTTTACCTCCAGGTTGTGTTCCTGGGCAAGTGGTGGGTCTCTTCTTGATCTCCATTCTTCACTTGCCAAGATTGAATGATAATTTCCTAGGGTAGGTATAGCTAGCGAGACATCAGGCATCACATGTGTAACACCATTGCTAGCACACCTTAAGCACACCATAAATTATAGCTATCATCATTTTTGACAACCCAAACAGAAGCAGCAAAAATAGCTTCATGGTATGATTCTGTTCTTACTTGAAAACCTTTATTTACTTACTATTTTGGGGGTGTTAGAAATGTAACCTGTTCCAGGACAGCCAGAGCTGTTACATAGAGAAACCCTGTCTCTAAAAACCAAAAAAAGAAAAAGAAAAGAAAAAAATTTAACCCAGAACCTTACACATGCTACACACTCCCAGCCCTTCTTTCCTTTTAAATGAGACATTTTTATCTGACCTAGAATCCAAAAGGGTCTTCTCTGAAGTATCACTAACTAAAGTGTATCCCCCGTCTCCAATCTCTTGAGGGTTTTCAGAGACTGTCGAGTGGAACTGGGAATGTTTCTAAGGCTTGGTAAGTTTTGTAGTATATCTGGTGAAGATGGGCATTTGCTAGCCTCACCGTGTGGTTATTTATCCAGTCTTCAATGATATGAGGTGCCACATGGAACATTAGATTAGAACCTCATCTTCTGATGGAATCATTACCCACATCAATGCCAAAGGCATTTTTTTAATATTTAAGTTTTTGTAATATCCCAAAGGGCATCACCACTACACACATTTTGTGGAATTTATAGGCATGGAAGGGCCATAGTGACATTTTTAGCTTTTTAAGAACTTGAGGGTTAGAATTTGGTTAACAGTGACTGGAAGCCTATATTCCATGCTGGGAAAAAACTGAGAAATACTGTTGTTGTTTCTCCAATCCCCTAAGAAGTAGGAAATCTATTACCAGATAGAGACTGGAGTCCCTGGGAAGCCATTTGTTACCATATGAACAAGTAATTCCTCCTCTATGACACACTGAAAGATTATTGAAGTAGAATTCAATTCAGAATATTTTGGACTCTGTGATGCCCTGAGCTGAAGATGAAATGGCAGAGGCTACCTCAGGTGTGAATGGGAAGGTGAGAGTTTCATCCAGAATTCAACAGGCCACAAAGTAATTTGCCAGTGTTCTAGAATAGGAACTGGGCACCATAATGGAGAGTGAGCCACTGTTCACCTTCACTTGTGTAGCTGGCAAGAATTACGGTTCTGTAGGTCTGAGAAGGAAATAAACAGAAAGAAACACATTATGTGAAACCACATTTTTACCATGAATACTATCATCCCCAAATGAACATTTTAGGGGAGGAGATAATACAGAAAATAGAAACAATGAAATGTTGGTAATTTATGTATACTTCAATTCAAAATTGGAGGACAAGAGTCCAACTGATTCTGAAACTTATGTTGAATTGATAAATTGGTACTGAAGAGTTGCATTTTGGTAGCATATTTTTAACTCCCCATTTTCCTTTACTATATGCTAAGAGAATAAATAGAAATGCTGATAATAGAATCTTTGCTGGAGATAGACACTGACTCTTTGCCACTGAAATTGGCAGTGAACAGCAGAGCTGAAATGGAAATTGGCAGGTACCACTGGATGTACCCAGGCTCAAAGAACCATCAGTACCGTCCCGTGCCAACCCTGGGGGACAGGGCTGGCCCCTTGAGCAGTCCAGGTAAATACAGCCTTGGGGTGAATTCCACAAACAATTCGACTGTTATCTTGATTGTGATTTATAATGGCTCTTTCAGTTTGGTGGTATTTTATGTTTTGGTGGATGCATTCATTTGTTGACATGGGTGTGGGTGGAAATGGCCCTTTAATAATTTTTAAATCATTTTCATTTTTCTTTCCCCCTTTCCATTCCACCCATTTTTCTCCACCTTCTTCCCACCTCCCCTCTCTTTCCTCAACCCACTTCTTTGTATCAAAGGGAACAGTGTACAGTGAGCTACATCCTTGGGTTAACCACAGACTTTCAGATGTCTGAATCAGTAACAGGGTAGGAAGCCTGTACGTATCCAGAACTGGGCCCAGAACTGGGTCAGAGACTTCAAGGAGCCTCATTTCTGAATGTCTTGAGCATATGGACATGTTGCTTCAATGGTACTGCTTTGTATGACCCTCCTTGAGCATCAACCCATATTTCCAGGAAAGCAAACCCAAAGCCTGTGAAATTAAGATCAGATAGATTAGACTCCCCATCAGGCAGGTCCTTTGAGTCCAGTTTCCATTTTCCTTGCTCATGAAGGACCCTCACCTCTGTGACCATTAGGGGTCTAGGTCTGAGCAAACTGTGTATGGGTCAATTTTGGAGATTTGAGATGGAGAGGTTTCTGAACTGTATGAACCTCCCCATTCCCCATCCCTAAAGCTTGAATGTGTCTTAATGTTCAGTTCAATTAGCTCAATGTAGGACAATAGTTCAAGCCATGTAAAATGTAATACAAAGGACGAGTGTCGGGTCACATAAACTCAATAGTAAGCTTTACAGTATTGCTATCATTTTGTCTCAACCTGTGATGTCATTTTTCCCAACTTAGTTGTGTACTTATTTCAGGGATCAACCTGAAATGGCAGTGATAGGGGCTGGGGAGGTGTCTCAATGCAAAAGGTGCTTGTTGCACAAAAATGAAGACAAGAGTTCAGATTCCCAGAACCCATGTAAAAGCAGATGGCAGTGTGCATCCGTAATCCCAGCATGAGAGGTGTAAAGACAGGTGAATCACTGGAGCTCAAAGCCAATTGGTAAGCCCTAGGTTGGTTAAAGACCATGTCTCAAAAACTAAGGGAGAGAGGAAAATACCCAGCATCAACTTTTAGTTTCCATATGTGCACGCAGGCATGCTCACACACATGCCTTAAAAGAACAAAGAAATGGCAGTGTGCTGAATGCCCTAGAAACATTTTGAGGGATTGTATAAAACATTCTGTTGAATGGAAGACCTGTTCTCTTTCCTTTAAGACCTAAAATGGAACCATGAAGTTAATTGCCATGAAATCTGATTTTGGATTTAGTTCTGTGTCTTGGGTCATGCACTCCATCATTCCACGTAGGGCTGATAGGGTGGCTGCTTCTCTGTCTTCTTCTCCTCCTCCTTATCCTTCTTTGAGACAAAATCACATGTATCTCAGGTTGTCCTTGAACATCTGATGGATGACCTTGTGCTTGGATTATGGGTGTGTGTCACTATACTCAGTTTATGTGGTGCAGAGGATCAAACCAGGGGCCTCATTCATGCTAGGCAAGCCTTCTACCAACAGAGCTACAGCCCCAGCCCGTAGTTGCTTGCTTGTTCTGTGTGTGCCCGCAAGGTGAACAAGAATGGAACGAGCATCTTTTAGCATAGATCATTCAAAGAATGTAGTGGTGAGGGCTGAGGTCTTGCTTTAAAAGTTGCTGTTGCCATTCACTGTGATACAACTATACAATGGATTCCTGTTCAGCAATGAAAAGGAATGAAGTACCATTACATAGTATGACTTAATACACATTAAAGGCATGAAGCTATGTAAAAGAACCAGACATAGGAGCCCAAGCACCTAAGACTTCATTTTTATTGAGTTTTCAGAACTGGTAAGTCCTTAGAGGCACTCCTTAGAGAGTGGTTGCCAGGGTCTCAGGGGAGTATGGAGCAGAGATTGACTACAGATGAGCACCAAGGATCTTTCTTGGGGTGATAAAAATGTTCTAAAATTAGATTGTGGGGATGATTATACAACTCTAGATTAATTCAAAGCCACTGAAATGTAGCATTTAAAATAGATGAGATCCTGGCACAGTGAGACACACACCCATAATCCCAGAATTTGGGAGACAGAAACAGGATGATTACCATGAATTGAATGCCAACTTGGGCTACACAGTTCCAGTGATACATAGTAAGACCCTACCTTTTAAAAAAGTGAATTTTCTAGTATATAAGTTATATATGGAAGCCATGTTTAGTTTGTTTGTTTGTTTTACTGTACATAACCCATCCCATTATATATATGTAAATCAACGGCAAAAGAGAAAGGGAGTAGTATTGTTACCCACTAGGAATCACAAACTGCTGCTTTTGAGAAAGGATAGTGTTTATTTGAAGAATAAGCGTTGGGGTCGGCAAGATGTCCGAGTGGGTAAATGCACTTGCTACCAAGCCTGATAACCCAAGTTCAATATCTGGGATCCACGTTCAATATCTGGGATCCACATGGTAGAAGGAGAGAACTGACTCCTGCAATTTGTCCTTTGACCAGTGTGTGTGTGTGTGTGTGTGTGTGTGTGTGTGTGTGTGTGTTACAAAAACAAATAAATGTAAAAAAACAATTTAATGATAACAAGGCAGTTGGAAATCAAAAAGAGCTTTGAGTTCCTGGACACCAGACTCTAGGCTGTGTGGTAAAGAATAAACAGTCATCTTCCTAGAGGGAAACATATCTCTGTCTTGTGGCTCTGGAGAGTTCTCCAGGCATTAAACAATTTTATAGAAGAGCACGATGTATATGTGTTTTGCACCTAACAGCTGGAACCTCAGAATGTGGGGCAATTGAAGCTGCAGTTACAGCTGAGTAACAACAAAAAAAAGTAAGGCTTCAAAGACTTTCCTGCAATTGGTTTTTTTTGGAAGGGGAAGACCCTGAGGAACATGGGTTTTTGAAGGTGATATTGCTTGTTCAGGGCATGCCATCCACCCACAAGCAAGGTCTGACTGCCACTACAGTCACTCACTTTTCTTGAGAGTCCAGCCTGTGAAGCTCCGTTGGCCATTCACTCAAGCTTCAGCACCAAAGAAGTTGAGTTCAACATGAGTTTGCCATTCTCCCCTCCGTTCCCCAATTTAAAAGTTACATTTTTGGGAATTTTGAAATTGTTGCTATAATGAGAGGTCCAGGCTGCCTAAGGTCTCAGGTTGCTGATGATATTACAAGTATGAATTCTGGGAGCTATCAGGTTCTTGCCTAAGGGAAAGAAAATCCTTGCATTTGATTTGAACTTTAAATTTTAAAGGGCGATCTTCCAAAATCCTAAAATGGATTACATGTATGTGTGTGTTGTTTTAACTTTTGTATTCATTCACTTCAATCCTTGGCTTCTCAGGTGCCAAATGTATGTCTGAAGTCCCATTTGTATCTAGAGCGACATTACATCGGACCGTATAAAAGATTAGATCACAGAGGGAGAAGACCTGGCCCAGCCATTTCATTATCTCCCCAGGAGACGTCTCCCCAGGTTTTCTTGGCTCCAAAATCAACACAGTTTTGCCATCCTGTACTTAGATTTTAAACCAGATGGCATGAGGGGAAAAAATAGAGAATTCCATATGGCTCATTTGTCTTTTCTTTTTTTTCCCCCCTTTCCCTACATAGTTTTCAGTTTCTTTCCATGGGGGCCAAGGAGGTATTGATACTAGCTGACCAGGAAGTCTTTGCCAAAGAAAAATGACTCTCTCATCCATGCAGTCACTAGCAGAGGCCACCTTACCACAACTTCTTGTTCCCCACCAGAAAGATCAAGGTCGGTCCAGTGTCTTTTGCTTTGACTCCTCCCCCATGATTTTCTTTTCTTTTCACTGTAACATCTAAGGAGATTACATGTTTAAGATTTTATAGTTACTAAGACCATTATTCCCCACACCCCCCCCAGATAGGGTCTCATGCAGCCCATGCTGGACCTGAACTCTCTATGTAGACAAGAATGACCTTGAGTCCCTGATCCTCCTGCTTCTACCTCCCAAATGCTGTCACAGTTTTCTTTTATTTTCATTTTAGTTCTTTGGAGACAGGGTCTTACTATGTAACCTTAACTGCACTGGAGCTCTCTGTGTAAGCCAGTCTGGCCTTAAACTCATAGGGGTGTACCTCCTTCAGCTTCCTGAGTGCTGGGATTAAAGGCCTGCATCACCACACCTGGCTCTCAAACAGTTTTAAATCTTTTTTCCTTCTCTGCTTATGAAGATACATGAGTAACAATGATGGAGGAGAAAGTTGTGGATGGGAGCTTGGGAAAGAGACACAGTGTCTCCCATCTTTCTCAATATGGCCCAATTATGTGTCAGCGATGGTTGTTTAACATAGGCTGCAAACTAACAGATGACTGTTTATCAGTAAATTGGACATCCAGACTTCAACCTGCGAAGTAAAGACAACCACTCACTTTGCCAACCTCCAATCCTTCTTTTTTCCAAATGCTGGGCCGTGGTGGCTCCCACCTTTAATCCCAGCACTTGGGAGGCAGATGCAGGTGGATCTCTGTGAGTTTGAGGCTAGCCTGGTCTACAGAGTGAGTTCCAGGACAGCCAGGGCTACACAAGAAACCCTTTCTCTAAAACAATGCAAACCACTGTGATGTTCATAGATAAATCCAGAAGCCCAAACAAGGAACACGCCCTCTTGTTTGTGTGACAGGATGGTGAGTGTTGGGAGAGGCAAGCTGGAGGAAGGGTTGGTGCCCAAGCTTGGTAACTTGCATTACTAAGAATGGATCCATAAGTTGCTGTGGAGGGGTGCTGAGAGAGAATGCCTGAGAGCACCTTGAAGTCACTTCTGTGAATCAGTTCACACTCCTGGAGGCAGTTCATTTGCCCCCTTCACTGCTGACCTTGAAACTTCTACCTCGGGATCTGTTAGCCGGACATGGAAGAGGGTTGCTACTGACCCTTAGGGCCACTCTTTCAGAACTTTAGGATTTAT